TTTTTTGAGTTTACGTGTAACATATTTTATTGTGCAGTGTATGAATGAAAATGAGTATGAAAAATAAATTAAATTAAAGCAAAGGACGTCGTGGTTAAATTTATTTATTTATTTATTTATTTTTTATTTTTTGCGTGTAGAAAGCGAGTGACTCAAGTTGGCAAATATCTTGACGACTTTGCATTTAAATTAACGATTTCTTCAATCGAATTCAAACCCTTCTTTTGTAAGCTAAATAAAGTGGTAATTGGTGAATAGACGGGGGGATTAAGTATTTGGAAATGCAAAGTAGAGTGCAAACGCATTATTCTATGCGTGCTTTAAATATAATTTTCTTCGTTGCTTTTATTATTCTTTCCCCTTTTGTCCTTTTCCTCAATTTAAATCTGTTCGAGTGGGGCCAATTTTTGTCTACCATTAGGCACTTTAATAAATGTACTTTTATTACTTTCTTTGTTTATCTTGAAAAATATTATTTTAATAATAATAATAATAATAATAATAATAATATCTAGCCCAAGTAGTACAGTGGACAATGTAGCATTACTCTTTATTTAAAACTTTCTCGTCGTATGAAATACACATTATAGATCGGAATAAGAATTGATATATTTTGAAGTGTTTCCATTTCTTAGTCGATGAATTTGTATCTTCTTACGGATCAAGAAATATTTAGGCTTGTTATTTTGTTCATATTTCTTCTACTCTTCTAGTTGGTAGAGATAAAATAACCAACTTCGAGAAGCCTTAGAGTTCGATGTTGATGTCCTGGAGATGAGGATTTTAAATTATGTACACTTTGGAATAGTTTTTCTGTTGAATTTTCATTAATAATATAAAAAGAGATCATTTTATTTTATTATTTTTGCGAGGTTTTAAAAAGCGCAAAGTATGAAAAGATGTTAAGGTCAAACCTTATAAATTTAAACGACATCAGTAAGGTCTTGATGTAAATGTTGATATTATTTTAATTATTCTGATATCATTAATAATTATTTTACTAAGACTATTATTTTAATAAAAAAATGAATAATTATTCATTTAACTTCTAAAAAATTGGAAAAAAAAAACAAAAAGATATACGGTTTTTGGCAATTAGTCCCACATTATGGTCAAAATTAGAGTTGACCTTTATCTTAATTTTATCCCATATGTGAGGCTTTTTCTTCAAGTCTATATATATCCTCCTATTTTTCGCCTAGCTTTCTTTCGTTGAGCAAGGCTATAGTGAGAGAAAACCTTTGACATATAGGTGACCGACACTCACAATACAGGGGCCTTCAAAGTTTGGGAACTAAAATGTAAATACTCAAAAGTTGTTTCGAAACTCATGATGAAGATTTGAGAGTGCCTAGGGTCAATTAGACGAGAAAAGAAGTCAAAGGAATGAATTATAGTCAAAATATTATTCTATACCAACTTTCAACTGAAAAAGTTGTGCTTCGGATTTTTAGTCTCATATTAAGATCCAATTTTAGAAAAGCAAACGTTCGAATTGGAAAAATGACATCTCTGGAAGAATTATAGCCCTCTAAGTAATCTTTTCGACGTACTTTGAATCACTTCAATCAAATATCGAAAGAAAAAGTTATGATAAAAATACTGAAAACCGTTTGGCTGCTGAAATTTAAGCAAGGCGTTTGCCCTCGCTTGCAAGAGAGGCACGCGCCCCAAACAAAAAACGAGCGATTGAGAGTGGACATGAAGTTTTGGATGGCCTATCCCAAAGACTCCCAAGCACGCGCCCTATATTACATTAGGTGCGCGCTTCAATGTTGAACACGGAAAAATTTAGGTTTTCTTATTCTATTTTGGTAAGAAATCTCCTTGACATCATATAAATAGGAGAACATGTCCAGAATGTAAAAAAAAAAAAACCTCCCTTGACCTAAGTATTTATCAAATTTTACATATTTTGGAGGCAAAGAACGAGGCTAAATCATCAATATCAAGATAATTGTATAAGATTCTTGAAGATTATCCATCCAAAATCACGATTTTATTGAAGAAACTTGATTTTTCTACCTTCTTTCATATTTCTTTGACCCGGATGATGTCTTTTCGTTATTTATTGTATAATTTAATAATTAGAATGGTTGGCTAAGTTTTTCATTGTATTGGATGAATGATTAACCCTATTGTTTGTTTATTTTATTTCGAGACAATTAACTTAGTATTTTATGATTTTTCTTAATTGGTTTTGCAATCCTATTGAACTATTTAATTGTTTGATCACCAAATAGATAGTAAGTTAGTGTAGGAATACTCACAATAAGTCTAGAATGCGACAAAATCAACACATGGACAATAGGTATTAGGAATAATATATATGACATGTGCAATCATATATGATAAATTCTGTAAATTAATGCATATTTTTCATATGAATTCGGACTAGGAATAGAATCGGGTCGTGTTAAGCATATATTTAATATGTATTGGGAAAGAATAATGAATATAAGTGAATTATAGATTATTTTGAATGCACTAATTTACTAAATTATGAATTAAGAGTTGAATTAAATGACAATAGGAGAATTCACGATTCCAATACAAACATTCATATATGAGATAAATATTTTATTTGCTTTCTTAGTTTATGACTAGTATAGAGAACATATAAATTATAACTCTTTTGATATCACCACACTTCGAATTTAATACCAGCTATTAAACTACAAATTAAGCCTTATTCTTTGTGGGAACGATACTCTTAACTCACAAATCTTATTACTTGTAGAACGATCCCGTACGCTTGCGGGTTTTCTACGGACAGTCCGCAGCATGTGAGAAGTTGTCATCGCATCTGTCAAAAGTTTTTTGGAACATGAGCTTAAACCTCTTTTGTTAAACGTGTATTGGCTACCAATTTTCAACATTCATAAGAATCAATAGGTAAGAATGTGTTCTTCAATCATTTCTCGGTATTCAATTGGAATTAAGGAGTTTCGATCTTTATTCTTCAATTTTTCTTGCATTATAAATTGCATATGCCTTTAATAGCTGGATATCGATTAAGTCTCTTTTGAATATGCCTTGCCGAATTATAAAGTTTCTTACTCTATATTCCAAAGCCAGAATATTAAGCAACCTCATGCCTATAAGAACCTAAACCCTCTTTGCAGTTTGCACATATAATCTATCTACTTACTGTAAATTTATTATAGTACTTGATCCATTAATTGAGGTACTTCACAATGTATGCTATGGATACCTTTCAGTACAAATATCAAAGGGCTGCCACACGAGTGACAATTTTGGCACACTTGTTCGGCGTACTTGCAATCGTGCTTATGCTCGTTTGGTTGTTGCATTACCGTGGGGGTCTCGACCTCGACTCAGATAATCCCTATCTTATTTTCAATGTATACGGAAAATAATTCTTGTGTGATTCGAAATGTTCAACTCCATCCATCCATTTCTTACTTTTTTTCAATTTTATAGGTTCACCCTTTTCTCATGTTCTTCGGGTTTATTTTCATGGCCGGCCAAGGTAAGTTTTTATTTTTCTTCGAAGTTTTGATTAGTACCTAACCTAGTCATATGCTAACAAGTTGAGATCTGTTGTCCCTTTTTGGGTCGATTTACAAGAGCAGCAATGATGGCATATAAGACAGTAAGAGCAGGAAGAACAGAGCAGAAATTAGCACATGCATTTTTTCATTCTGTGGCATTATGTCTGGGGATTGTTGGATTACATGCTGTTTTCAAGTTTCATGATAAAAGAAATATTTCGAACTTGGATAGCTTACATTCATGGATTGGCATTACTACTTTCTCCTTGTTTTGCTTGCAGGTATGTAACTAATTAATTAAAAAAAAAAAAAAAGATTTGGTTCAAGTTACGGGCGTGTCCTATTTTGATCGCCGAACTTAATTTTCAAACGAAATTGGCGTTGAACCTTTAATTTCTTATTCTGTTAGTCATTATATTCAACTCGTCGCACATGGCAAATGGAAATTCTATTGAAAGGATCTTAGACGTTATGTGAGAATATTCGACCCAGATTCTACACTTTACGAATCTCGATCATCAGACGAAGTTGAATATGGTGACTAACTATGTAAGAAATCGAAAGTTGGAGAGGAAATTTCGTTCTGTGACCAAAATAATTATAAGCTGCTGCTTATTTTCATGTAATTAATTGAGTTGAATTTTGCAGTGGCTGTTTGGGATTACTGTATTTCTTTTTCCAGGCGGTTCTGATTACGCAAGAACAAGAGCATCTCCATGGCACGTATCTGGGGGAAGGGCACTATTGTATATGGCAATATGCACAGCATTGACGGGGCTAATGGAGAAAGTAACATTCTTGGGATTGCAGCATCAAAGGGAAGCTCGTTTAATCAACTTTCTTGGATTCGCGATTCTTATATTCGGCATAACCGTCGATATTTCCGTTGTTCTTTCACGTTATATATGATTTATATATAAATGACACCTTGTAGCATATAAATAAATACTCGACTCGACTTGGGAGAACTCTGTGTAAATTTGATATTTAAAAAAAAAATTAAGTGTTGAAATTTATTTTTACCCAATTAAGTGTGTGGCTAATTGAAAGAATAACGTTGTGTTGTGATGCGTGATTGCCTATTAAAGGATTTGCTTTACTTTTGAACTAAGAATGACATGTGCGACGTCGATATCACACGACAAAGATTAGGCATGGACATCGGATGAATCGATTCGAATATTTCAATACTTAAAACCATAGACAACTACAAGGATGACTATTGATAGGTCATCCAATGTTCTAATAAAGCAAACAAATTATGGTACAAAGACTCAGAGCCGGTCCTGTGTCTGATGGGCCCTGAAGCGAACGATGAAAAGTAGGCCCTCCAGCGACAAAATTCAAAGGTGTATTATGCGACTTATTGCTAACTTAAAAAACTAACATTAAAACAATAACGAAATATATCATAGAAACGATTTATATTATAGACCATCAAACCAAAAATTTCAAACAATTAGTTAAATACTATTCGTCTTGCTGTTTTAGAGGCAAAAACATCAATCAAATCTGAAAAATTTAGCTGCTCAACCATTTCTTTTTCTATTGATAACATAGCCAACCCGTTTAATCTTTCTTGCGACATAGTTGATCGGAGATAGGTCTTGATTAACTTTAATTTTGAGAAACTTCTTTCCGCAGTGCAACTGTAACTGGTATGGTTAATAAAATTTGGTAAGCAGTATAAGCATTTGGAAAACAAACATCCAATGTCTTCAAATATTGTAGCACTTCAATTGCTCTTGTTGCTTCACTTGGTATATAATATCTCAAGACTTGTAACTCCGAACATAAATCATCCCCACTAATATCCGAACGCCCATTATGTTGAAGATATTTCTCAAGATTCAAACAAGATTTGAACAAACTTGAAAAAGTTGCACTCCTTAACCTTTTCAAACTAAACAAAAATCCAAATGTGTCATCATATTGTTTGAATTGTTCAAATCGGGTCCTCATAGAAGATAGAGTTTGATCAATTATAAAAATAAAGTACTCAACTCTAAAAGATTCTTCTGCTGATTGTTTTACCTCATCACTACCGCTTTCATCATATTGTTTTTTCCTTCGAATTATGCGTTTTTCTGTAAATACAGCTTCAATTCCCATTTCCCTTGCCTTTTTTGTCGCTTCATCTTTGGCAATAGCAAATCCAATTTCTCTGTATTCTTCAAGAAATGAAACAAGCCCTTGCAAGAGGTTGATAGCATGATCAATATCCATGGATTCGGTTTGAAGAAATTTGTTCACAATATTGACAACATGCAACAACCTGTACCAGATTATCATACCAAACAAAAACTCAAAATTTTGAAGTTCATATGTTGCTAATGACTCGGCTTCACTCTTCACTTTAGGATCTTCATTACTTTCTGCTAAATCAAGTAATGCATCTCTTATCTGTGCAGTTTGCTCCATTATAGGCTTCACACTTTCAACATGACTTTCCCAACGTGTTTGTGACAATGGCTTCGAAAATTTTCCATCGCTTGGTAGAAGAGGAAAATAATGTGTAGATGTGTTGTATCACTCCGAAGAAGGATACAGCTTTGGAACAACAGTTCATCATATCACATAATGCTAGATTTAGACTATGAGTGCCACATGGAGTATAGAAAGCTCGGGGATTCATTTCATGGACTCTTCTTTGCATACCTTTGTGCTTCCCGCTCATGTTAGATCCATTGTCATACCCTTGCCCTCTAATGTCATCAATATTGAGATCAATTTTTATCAAAGCCTTTTGAAACTCGGTTGCAAGTCCAAGTTCTGTTGTGTCATCTACCTTCAAAAATTCTAGCCAATGTTCTTGAACTATAGGTAAGTTTGCCGAATTATCTACAAATCGTACAATTAAAGACATTTGCTCCTCCTGACTTGCATCTGGAGTACAATCAAGTATAACGGCGAAATATTTTGCATCTTTAACTTTCTTGACAATTAAACTTCTCACTTGATTAGAAAACAACTGTAACAACTTGTAAAAATAGGCCATTGTTCTCAACATGTAGCCTCTCATCATCTCCTCGAAATGGCAATGCGTTTTTCGCAAGTTTTTTAACAATAACGATTATCCTTGTTAATACATGTCTCCAATGTTCTCTTTCAGCATCAATCAACAATTCAATGCTTTTATCAATTGTAGTTTTTGATCGAAACCTATTTTCCAATTCAATCCAACTAGTCATGCAACGTAAATGCTCCTCATTTCCTTCATGACTTTTAATAGACCGATGCAAATTATGCCAATCTTTGAATCCATCATTACCTAGTTGGCCAACTTTTGTCACATTTATTGGTGTTTTAAACAACTTGCAACAAAAGCAGAAGATCCTGTCCATAGATACTGAATATACTAGTCTTCTTCTATCAACTGTTTTCCCATTTGGTAGCAATCACTTATATTGTGAAGAATCGAAATGTCTATTTGTATATTCTTTCGGAAACGAGATGTCATCAACTCTTTTTGGACCCCTTTCAACTAAGTAATCCCTTATTCTTTGATTAATAATTTTCCAATTTCCGGGATCATCCAAATTTAGAGAAAAGCAACCTTCTTCTTCCTTATCATCTTCTTCATTATTAGAGGTGGGCTTCATCACTTCTTCTTCCTTATCATCTACTTCGTTAACATCGGTAGGTTGACTCACTTCTTCATCCTTATCATCCACTTCATTAACATGGGCAGGTTTAATCTCTACTTCATCCTCAGTTAACGCATTCACATTGTCACTTTTGAAGTACTTGTTAATATCCTCTGCTTGACTTTGAATTAATGCAATTTCACTTCGTTTTCTTTTCCTTTTTTGAACACCAGACTTGTATTTAGGAGGTATAGTAATGTCCAATGAGTAGCCTAAAAAACAATTACTAAATAACTCAATCATCTCACAATTATAGTTTCCAATATAGTTACTACGTGCGCCTGTGCAATTGTTCATCCTACAATAAGCAATCATCTAAGCCGACCAGGCTGCAATTATATAAGCCGACCAAGTTTCAAGCATTTCCAATTTCTTCAATAACAACTTAGGGTAAGCCATTGCTTACCTGATAAGTAAAATTTTGACGAAAATTGTGGAATTACACCCTTAAGAATGATCCCGTTTTCTGAACCGGTGGTAAGCTAATCTCAATTTTTGAATTCTGTCAACGATACTCTAGCATAGCAAAAAGAAACATGTAAGGAAATAACAAGTATATGATGGATTAAAATGAAAGAAATAACAAGTATTTGATAAATTATAAAACTTCAATTTAGTTAAAACATGAATGTTACTAGATCAGAGAACCACAAGCTTAACTAGATTAGAAAAGGAAAAAAGCCAATAAAAAAACAAATATTTTGGATGAATTTAAGCTACTGAAAACTTAGGGGAGTCGAGCAGGCTGTAAAAATGACGAAAAGAAAAAGCAACTAGCTAGGAGAAAAAGCAGAAATCACAAACGACAAAAAGAAAATCAAAAAATTTAGAGCATGAATCAGTAGATATCTAAAAATATTTTTGCATTCATGATTTGAAAGAATTGGTCTAGCCAGTATTTTTAAATCTACTAACTATTTCCTCTTTATATTATGATAAACTATGCATCACATCTCAGTTGTCTGCTACAATCAGTATGATGCTAAATGCTTAAACTCTTACTTCTGAAAATGCATGTTGGATTGTTGCCAAAGAAGGTGATATTGTGGAGGTGAGATTTAAGACCTTTTCTCTCCTATTTGTGCTCTATTATTGATAAAAATTGTCATCATGGATCCATTTGTATGTCAATGTCATGCCCAATGTGTATCATCCATAAGCTTGTCCCCTTACAATTAAATATATTATTGGAAAGAGACTATCTTATAGGTTTGATACGATGGCGTTTTATGAGAGTGTTGTTCGGGCAAATTTTACTTACGGCAGTCTCACCGGAGTCGAGGGATTCTCACAGGAAGAGCTCTTTTTATGGCTTCCGGTTAGGGACATTGTTATCGATGATCCGAAGTCCGGCCTTATTCTGTTCGATATTGGTGTTGCTCAAAAACAGCTTTCGCTGTCGTTGTTTGAAGATCTACCGGATTGTAATGCCAAGAGTAAGTGGATTTCATTCTTTTGGTATGAAAGGTCTGTTGGAATACCTTCCATTTTAGTGGATCTTGTTGCTGGTTTTTCCTTGTTCTTCATCAACCTTTCACAGCAAGATCTCCCAGTTTGTTGTAAAATTTTGAAACCAATTGACTATTTCACAGCAACATGTTTAAGACAGATTAGATTTCAATTTTACCTCTACTTTTTAGAATGTTCAGTTAGAAAATGAACATTAAATTGAGTTCGTTGCAGTTTGAATTAATTGAAAAAATAATGCTAGCTGGTGCCTTTCATGTCAATTCTAATGGACTGTTCATCATTAGGCATAAAGATATTTCATTGGAGATGCTGATTAAACTGGTCAGAGTATTTGGCTCGGTGATCTATTCTTCATTGTCTGCTCAATCGTCTGTTGGAGTGGATATTGAGGCAGAGCAAAGGTTTGATTTATATTTCCCTAGCTATACTACTCAGTTGATTTTATGTTTTGCCCTGAATTCTATTTGCCCTCGTCCAAAGGCTGGAACGTTGCAACATGTGCTTTGTGGAACTTGAGAAAGTCAAGCGTTGCTTGCCCCTCCTTTCCAGGTGTGTGTGATTCTCATCATTTACTGCTTTCATTTGGGACAAGTTGCATTGATTTGATATCTGCCAGGGTTGTGTTTTTCAGAAGAGGGGGTTCAATTGCCAAGTCTGCGCAGGAGCTAAATCTAGCACTTAAAGAAGTATCGTGAAGAATGAGTGACCTATGCTATGACATTGCTTCTAGAGATAGCAAATTGGGAGCTGGTAGTCCTGTGTGTATAGTATCCGGTGGCACAGTTAACTACTAATTCATTCATTTTAAATGAAAGTTGATAGCTGAGGGACAATACAACCTGCTTATCACCATTGAACACTTACCGCGCCTAAAGCTTGCCAGCTTGAGGTGAATCTGTCTTACTGCGCTCTTGTCTGACCCGTCTCAAATGTCTACTTGTTGATTTGTAACTGTTAACGTCTTCCACAAAGATGTTATTGACTATGTAACAATATGAAGTTGAACTGTAGCAGATGTGTCCATAGCTTTTTCAAATGATGATTGAAGTTTCGTATTGTAGTTGCATATGTGCTAGAGTTTGAAGCACAGAGTAATGGGATCTACATGTAGTTTGATCGAATGATGAAAGTACAGAGAAATCAAAACGGGCATTCTATTCCATTTCTTATAATGCGTTATTATGACGTCTTGCTGACTAAAAGATGTTGGGCATGCAGAGAGAAATATGTGAACTTGATTTTTATCTTTGCCCTGAATTCTTCTCTTGGATTCTCTTTCTTTATCGTTCCTCTTTTGGTTCACTGTCAAATTGTAAATTTCCTGCGTCAGGGTAGCTAGTTGCCTGTCGTGTGTGCGTAGATGTTGGTCATCTTGAGTCGTACATGAATCAATGGAGACGTTGTCCCGTTTGTTAATGGGATCTTCTCTGCCAAGCTGCTCGTGGCCGTCCATTGGAGTTGGTGTTTGCTAGAGATTGATAGAACGTTCCCAAACTAGGGTTTCAAGGGTTTTGAAACATTATAACTTTAAGCTTCTGTTCAGGTCATTACTATATATATATATATATATTTTATTTATTTATTTATTTTTTTTTTAATTTTTATTTTTGGTTTGATTGCTAATATTTAGGAGGATGACCTGTGGTTAAAATATAGGGAAAAATTTAAGATTTACGCGTAAAATATTTTATTGTGTGAATGTGTATTAAAAAATGAGTACGCAGAAAAAAGAGTTTTCAAATAATGGATGTCAAACATGGGCTAAAACCTTGATTTAAAATCAAATCAAACGGTAGAATATGGTTTGGACGTTTTCAAAACTTTTTCTGACCAGGTTTAAGAAGGTTGCATTTGTTTTAAGAGCTCTGCAATTTCTACAGAAAATATGTTGTAGGAATTAATATGGATAAAACTCGACGGTTTCCTATTGGACAATGACAATAAAACAAAAAAAAAAAAAAAGGAAGACGGACGAAACAGATGTTTGTGGCAACATCTGTATTAATTCTAGCAGCTCTGCTTCTATACAAGCAGCGAAATTCTCATTTTAATACTTAAAACTAAGTATACTCTTTTTTTTTTTTCGTTTAATATTTTTACGTATTTGAATTTTTATAAAATAAGAATTTTAATGAGACAATTACTGAACAATGAGTTTGAAGTGGAGTACTATAAATTAAATACAAATTAGTAAATAATCACAGATTCACAGTACATTTGGAGTCATAATTATTCTCTATAAATATATGAATGAAATATATATATATATAAGTCTATTGATTTCTCTATTTTCTTCGCATTTCTCCCTAATTTATAACAATTAGCAAATTATTTGCACAATGTTGGAAGTATAATTCAAACCTATTTTAGAAACTTCAAAATTGACAAAATAAAATTGGAAGAAATAATAAAACTTTGTAACCATAAACGAAAAAAGAAAAGATGCAAGAACATAAAACCTCTAACCTGAAATTTCATTTTGATTGAGTTTTATATTATTAGAATGCATTCATATTCTTAAAATTTTAAAAACATTATTTTGAATAATATTTTTTTGGAGAATGTATGGTTAAAAAATAGAAATTCTTTTTTGAGTTTACGTGTAACATATTTTATTGTGCAGTGTATGAATGAAAATGAGTATGAAAAATAAATTAAATTAAAGCAAAGGACGTCGTGGTTAAATTTATTTATTTATTTATTTATTTTTTATTTTTTGCGTGTAGAAAGCGAGTGACTCAAGTTGGCAAATATCTTGACGACTTTGCATTTAAATTAACGATTTCTTCAATCGAATTCAAACCCTTCTTTTGTAAGCTAAATAAAGTGGTAATTGGTGAATAGACGGGGGGATTAAGTATTTGGAAATGCAAAGTAGAGT